ATGTGGGACTGTCATATGTGGGACTGTCATATGTGGGACTGTCATATGTGAGACTGTCATATGTGGGACTGTCATATGTGAGACTGTCATATGTGGGACTGTCATATGTGGGACTGTCATATGTGGGACTGTCATATGTGAGACTGTCATATGTGAGACTGTCATATGTGAGACTGTCATATGTGGGACTGTCATATGTGAGACTGTCATATGTGAGACTGTCATATGTGGGACTGTCATATGTGGGACTGTCATATGTGGGACTGTCATATGTGAGACTGTCATATGTGAGACTGTCATATGTGGGACTGTCATATGTGAGACTGTCATATGTGAGACTGTCATATGTGAGACTGTCATATGTGGGACTGTCATATGTGGGACTGTCATATGTGGGACTGTCATATGTGAGACTGTCATATGTGGGACTGTCATATGTGAGACTGTCATATGTGAGACTGTCATATGTGGGACTGTCATATGTGGGACTGTCATATGTGAGACTGTCATATGTGAACATTGCACATGGTGGTATGTTGCACCAAGCGGTGTACTTTTTGATACATTTGTGGAGTCTGTGTGTGTGTCTGTGTGTGTGTGTGTGTGTGTGTGTGTGTGTGTGTGTGTGTGGCTGTGTGTGTCTGTGTGTGTGTGTGTGTGTGTGGCTGTGTGGCTGTCTGTGGCAGGGGTTGTGTGCGGTGAAACACGTGTCTCATGAGAGGCCCGCGGGAGTGGGGTACATTAGCCTAGAGTCTTGACAAGTATGGTGAATCTGTACTGTAGACTTTAATGAATTGATTGATCGAATTATTGTAGAGAGCAAGTTCTGAGCAGGCTACAAACCCATCTCCCAAGTTTGCCCGTCTGTTGGCTCAGGGTCAGAGCCCATCTTCTCAATGATGGAAGTCTTGTCAATGGTGGCATTAGAAACACGCGATGTACATTAGAAACACGTGACGTACATATGACAAGCGCCGTACATTAGAGACACCCGCTGTACATTAGAAACACGTGACGTACATTAGAGACACACGACGTACATTAGAGACACCCGCCGTACATTAGAGACACCCGCCGTACATTAGAAACACGCGACGTACATTAGAAACACGTGACGTACATTAGAGACACGCGACGTATATATGACATGCGCCGTACATTAGAAACACGCGACGTACATTAGAAACACGTGACGTACATTAGAGACACGCGACGTATATATGACATGCGCCGTACATTAGAAACACGTGACGTACATTAGAAACACGTGACGTACATTAGAGACACGCGACGTATATATGACATGCGCCGTACATTAGAAACACGCGACGTACATTAGAAACACGTGACGTACATTAGAGACACGCGACGTATATATGACATGCGCCGTACATTAGAAACACGCGACGTACATTAGAGACACCCGCCGTACATTAGAAACACGCGAGGTACATATGACACACGCCGTACATTAGTGACACCCGCCGTACATTAGAAACAAGCGACGTACATATGACATGCACCGTACATTATCTCATGCGGCGTACATATGCCACAAATTGTCCCCAGCTGGAGGTGATGTGTCGGCGAGTGCTGGGCCCCGTGTTCGACGAGAGCCTCCCGCCCAAGACGGTGAGCGTCATGTTGTTTGACAAACTCTCCGAGCCGGGCTCTCTCATGCTGATGGAGGTCGTGCGCAACACCATCTGGTCCATCAACCCCCTGACCTGCACCGCCTCGCCCCTCACAGAGCCTGACCTGACCCTGAGGCTGGAGGTCATCGGGAGCAAGCTCATCATGTGCTGTATGTCGCAGTTCATCAAGTGAGTTACGTTGGTTCACGTACTGCTGGTTCATCAAGTTCTGTTGGTTCACGTACTGGTGGTTCATCAAGTTACGTTGGTTCACGTACTGGTGGTTCATCAAGTTACGTTGGTTCACGTACTTGCACCATTCCGTTATACTCCGTACCTCCACCCCCCTTCTTACTATCTCTCCCCCCAGGCAATCACCCAGTAATCACGGCGTACTCACCTATCTCTCCCCCCAGGCAATCACCCAGTAATCACGGCGTACTCACCTATCTCTCCCCCCAGGCAATCACCCAGTAATCACGGCGTACTCACCTAACTCTCCCCCCAGGCAATCACCCAGTAATCACGGCGTACTCACCTATCTCTCCCCCCAGGCAATCACCCGGTAATCACGGCGTACTCACCTATCTCTCCCCCCAGGCAATCACCCGGTAATCACGACCTACTCGCCTATCTCTCCCCCAAGCACCGCCAGTAACACCCAGTAATCACAACTCACCTTCCCCACCCCCCAGGACCCGCCAGTACTCCACCAGTACTCACCTCTATCTCTACCCCCAGTACTCACCTCTATCTCTACCCCCAGTACTCACCTCTATCTCTACCCCCAGGACCCGCCAGTACTCCCCCAGTACTCACCTAGTAATCATGACTCACCTTCTGTACCCTCTATCTTTCCCCCAGGTACCCCCAGTACTCACCTAGTACTCATCCAGTAATCTCGACTTATTCACCTTCTGTACCCCCTATCTCTCTACCCCCAGCACTCACCCAGTAATCACCTATCTCTCTACCCCCAGTAGGCTACTCACCCAGTAATCACCTATCTCTCTACCCCCAGTACTCACCCAGTAATCACCTATCTCTCTACCCCCAGTACTCACCCAGTAATCACCTATCTCTCTACCCTCAGTACTCGCCCAGTAATCACCTATCTCTCTACCCCCAGATATCGCCAGTACTCACCCAATCTGCTGCTGAGCCTGGGAGAGGGAGAGGCGGAGGACGACGACCTGACCCACATCTCCACGGAGCAGAGGAGGGAGTACGAGGAGAGGAGAGAGAGGAAGCGCAAGCAGGAGGAGGAGAGGAAGATGAGAGAGGAGGCCAAGAGGCTGAAGAGAGAGCAGGAAGCGAAGGAACGACAGGAGAGGAGGGCAGCGGAGGAGGCTAAGAGGGAGGAGGAACGAAAGAAGAAAGCAGAGAGGAAAGAGAAAGCTGAAGCTGAGAAGACAAAAGAAGGTGAGGCAGAAACGGATACGCCGAAAAATGATGAGAAAGTGAAAGAAGAAACAGGCGAGGAAGGAAGTGAGCCCATGGAGACAGACGACAGACCGAAAGGACGAAGGAGGTCGAGAAAGTCGACCTGTGAGGAGGAGGAGACAGCAGAGGTCAAGGACTCCGATACTGGTGGCGACGCCCACGCCGGCCAGGAGGAAGATGGTGGGAAAAGTGCTCGCTCCAAACGATCGTCGTCGAGGATATCACGGAAATAGTTGTTGGTCACTTGTCCTATTTTCTTTGTACTTTTCTTTTTCCTTTCACGTGTCATTTACTGGACTTTGCTAGTCCCAGTTTGATGACATTTCTGTTGCCCACGTTTAGCTGTACATGAATCGTGTGGTAAGGTCCATTCATTGGTTTCATTAAACTACTGAAGACAGAAAACGCTTCTCATTCACGAATTGTTGTTATTTATTGTCATTATATATAGGCCTACATAGTGACATTGTCAGTGCAATTGAAATGATCTGCTGCATTTAAAAAAATTTTAATTGGGCAAACATAGAATGCTCTGAGAACAGGGGGATCTTACTTGTGAATGCAGAGATCTAGATCTAGATTTTATTGGAAGGAAGATCAGTGCTTGGCAGCCTTTTTATAGTGGCGGCCATTCTCCAGTGCTTAGGCTATGAATTCACAACTGAATGGTGGTGGGTTTAAACCGTGTCAGGGTCAGGGACCGAACATTGTGTCCTTGGGAAGAAAAGCACCTTACATTGTGTCTTTACGTTGTGTGTCCTTACATTGTGTCCTTACATTGTGTCCTTACAGGAACTGTCCTCCCTTCACCCAACCCAGGTGAGATTGGGTACCTGGCTGCAGACAGCAAAAGATCTTGTCAGTTAGTGAACCAAAAGAGCACTCAATTGGCTGCTTGCACTGTATGCTTCCCCGGGAAGCCCAACATGTTTCTGCATGTTCTAGTTCTCGGGTCTCCTGGGGGAATAATGTGAGAGGCATCTTGACGATATCAGGTGCTCATCTAAATATAGATTGTAAAATTGCTTAGAGCTCACTGTTGACCTGAGCAATTAAGTTTTGTGAAGAAACTGTTACTATTTATAAAACCCTTACGTACTATCCAAATAATAAGCCATGGGTAACGAAAGAACTGAAAGATCTTATAAAAGAAAAAGGGAAAGCCTTTAGAAGTAATAACATGAATGAAATGTACTTGATATCTAAAAAAATTAAAAGAAAGATTGCTCATTGTGAACAAGCGTACAAAACTAGAATTGAGAGCGAATTTCAGACAAATAATATGAGGAATATGTGGTCCTCTTTGAAAAAAATAACGGGTTATACTGCAGCGAGAGAGAGTGTGCAAGTAAAACATGAAAGAGACTATGTGAATGAGCTAAACAACTTTTATTGTCGTTTCGACTGTTTTGATTTTGAGAATGAGCAGCGTGATCTTAAACAGAGGCTAAGTAGTAAGAGACGAGTTGAGCAGGGAGGAGTGTGTTGAGCTCAGTGAGCGGAGTGTTAAAAAGAAATTTCAAAGTGTAAACATAAACAAAGCCTGTGGTCCAGACAGAGTAAAAGGGAGAGTGTTAAGAACTTGTTGTGAGCAACTGGCCCCGATATTTACCTTCATTTTTAACCTGACCCTACACAAAAACTACATTCCTACAATATGGAAAACATCGGAGGTAATACCAATACCAAAAAAGCCTTGACTTAAGACCAGTCGCTCTTACATCCATTGCTTTCAAGTGCCTTGAAAAATTGATCCTCTCTAATATTCTAGGCCGTGTTCATGGAAATCTCGATCCATTCCAGTTTGCATACAAACAAGAGAGGAACGTAGAAGATGCTGTACTTGTTTTTTGTGACTCTATACTGAAACACCTTGAAACATCTAAAACGTATACGAGGGTACTTTTTGTAGATTTTTCCTCAGCATTTAATACAATTCAACCGCATATTGTCATTGAAAAACTTGTGAGTCTGAGAGTTAGTCATCATATCGCAGCATGGGTCCTGGAATTGTTGACAGGCAGACCACAATATGTGAAGCTAAACAACACAAAATCTGACACAATTCTTTGTAACACCGGCGGTCCTCAGGGGTGTGTTTTGTCACCAGTTTTGTATACTATATATACCAACGATCATAGAAGTATGTATAAAAAACAACACGCTTAATTAAGTTTGAAGATGACTCCGCTATTATTGGATTAATAAACCTTGATGAAAAAGAGTATTTCGAAGAAATATGTAGGTTTTTAAATGGTGCAACTCAAATTTTCTAAAAGTGAACCTCTCAAAAACAAAGGAAATGATTTTTGATTTTAGAAGAGAAAAACCAACAATCCCACCACTCGTAATTGAACAAGAAACTATTGAAATCACGGATTCATACAAATATCTTGGCCTTACAATAGACAACAAATTTACATGGCAAAACCACGTAAACAATATCGTTAAAAAGGTAAATCAGAGGCTGTACTTTCTGAGGAAACTAAAGTCTTTCAATCTGAATCCATCCGTCCTTCAGATTTTCTACACCACCACAATAGAAACTTTGATAAATTTTGGTATCACTTGCTATGGTAGCAATCTGGGAAGGCAGCACTTTATAAAAATATAAACAAGTTGATAAGAAGGGCATCAAGAACAATTGGTAGAGACCAAAGTAACTTTGACTATCTGCACAAGACAAACGTTCTAAAAAAGGCGGAAATAATGCTTAGTGACCATAGCCACCCACTGACATCGGAATTTCAACTATCAACCCGCAGTAAACGATACATTTCCAAAAAAGCAAGAACAGACATAGAAATTCATTCGTACCAACTGCAGTGAGGTTACTGAACACACAGTGCTACAAATGAAACAGAGAGAGAGAGAGAGAGAATGAATGTGTTACGGAGCGGGTTGTCCCAGCCCGTGAGACATGTATTTACTTGGCATAATGTCCTGTCTTGTTGTGCGTTTGCGAGAGTGCACCTTTAAGTCTAACTTTTGTAACGTCTACTGCCATTGTTAACGACCAAGACAAATTTCTCCCTGCGAGATGAATAAAGATTGTCATTGTCATTGTCATTGTCACATTGTCATTGTCACAGTCATCGTCATTGTCACATTGTCATTGTCATTGTCATTGTCATTGTCGTTGTCATTGTCAATGCGCTATTGTACAAATGACATTTTTTAACATTTACAGCCAACGCCAACTTTTGCCACCTTTATGACTCATTATGAGGCTAAAGTTTTCGTAGCACCCTCCTACACGTACACGTATTTCCCTGAAATGACAGTAACAGCTACACGTTCACTGTGATGCCCCGCAGACAGACAGACAGACGTACTCCATAAAATTTCTCCCCCACCCAAAATCCAACTCAGGTCTCCTGCATGCGACAGTAAAGCATGTTTAAGTGAGGGGGGCACAGAGGAAAAAAATGACCTAGATAAGAAGAAAAAGACGTGAAATACGGAACTCACAGAGAAGAAAAAGACGTGAAATACGGAACTCACAGAGAAGAAAAAGACGTGAAATACGGAACTCACAGAGAAGAAAAAGACGTGAAATACGGAACTCACAGATAAGAAGAAAAAGACGTGAAATACGGAACTCACAGAGAAGAAAAAGACGTGAAATACTCACAGACTTTGGGGGACCGTGGCCCGTCAAGACCCAACTTTATTCAACAAAAATGAAAGTAGTAAAGTAGATCTAGAGCATGACCCCAAAACAAACTGTACAACTTTTTGTCGAAATATCTGACACAGAACTCGTACAAGAATGTTGTAATTTGGAACAGATATATTCATTCAAAAGGATTTTGTTTGACATAAAATTCACAAAGAAGAAATGTATTTTTGAAAATGGAAATTGGAAATGGCTTTTATAAATAAATGCAAAATACACCAATTTAACCCTATCCGTACGTCGTGTTTTACTATCGTATCCATACGACGTGGGGAACTCTGTGCCACCACTTTCAAAGAGGAAAATTACTCGTTAATTTGATCCGTACATTTTGCATAGCAGTCTGTCAAAATGATTTTTTGAGAAATATTGAAAGTTTCAAAGAGATCTTCGTACTAGAAGTATTCCTAGCCTCTGCGTTTGTTGCCTTTTTTGGTCCAAAGTTGCCACAAAAAGTGACAAAAGTTGCCAAAAAACTTGCCGTTATTTTTCAAGCTTTCAAGTCTCTGTGACGACGTTTATTATATAGCATGTTGACAGAGGTAACTTAATCTAAAGCACCAGCATTTCTTGTGCTCTGTTTTAAGCATCCAGAATATCATGTGTAGTCACCCACAAGGTAAATACGTGAAAAATAAAGATTTCACAATAGAATCAGGGTTGGAGATTTTTTTGATTTTTTAAATAAAAATTTAAAAAACCGATTTTTTAAATTTAAATCAAGATTTTTAAAATTTAAATCAAATTTTTCTGATTAAAAAAAAAATGTTGACACAGTTTGGGATTTTTGGTTGCTAAAAGTATGTTCTTTTAGTGCAAAATGCATTGTATTTATTAATTTAAGCAACTGCAAAAGAAAGCCTTAATCTGCTATATCAGTGAATTATGGCTACAGAGAAAAAATGAAGAAAATGTCAGTCTAAAAGGAAGGGGGGGGGGGGGGGGAATTATGCATAGATAAACTTGCGTTTTATTACAGTGTGTGTGTGAGCACGCGCTTGTGTTTGTCTAAAAAGAAAATGTTAATTTCAAAAGAAAAAAAAAAGTAAATTGAATACTGTATTATTTTACAGTGACGGGGGAAAGCAGACTTTTAAGCATGATTATGTTAGTCTACTAAACCTTATATCTGTTTTATAAAACCAAGGAAAGGAATTCTGAATGTTTGAAGATGTAAAAACAGAATACATTTTTTAAAAAGTGATTTAAATCACTGATTTTTATTTTAAAAATCAAGTTGATTAAAATATTTAAAAAATCAACTGATTTAAATCAACCCAGCTCCGATTTCAATTATGGAAAAAAAAGTAAATTGAATACTGTATTATTTTACAGTGAAAGGTGGGAAAGCAGACTTTTAAGCATGATTATATTAGTCTACTTAACCTTATATCTGTTTTATGAAACCAAGGAAAGGAATTCTGAATGTTGAAATGTGTAAAAACTGAATAAAAATAAATTTTTGAAAAAGTGATTTAAATCACTGATTTTTATTTAAAAAATCAACTGATTTAAATCAACCCAACCCTGAATGGAATGAAATCAAAATTAGAACAGCACGGATAAATAACCACTAAAATTAACAAATTAGGGCGCGTGTCCACCTATCCAAAGATTGGCTGTTTTAACTCTAAACGTGCGTAATTCAAGAAAAAGTAGGCCTGCAGGATACCACATGTAAATTATGGAATCACACACAATTGGGGTGTGCCAGTGTCGGCATTGGGTTTTGGCGGAGACACGCTCCAACATAACACATTTATATTTTTAAAAGGGTAGGAACAGCATCAAATTATGACATTACGCTGTATCAAAAAAAAGAAAAACAAATCGTCAGAACAATTTTAGAAAAATTAACACAACAAATAAAAACACAACAAAGAGGGAAAAATAAAAGACAGACAGCAATAGAAATAGCATGTACTGTACTGTACTTATATTCTCTGCAGGAAAATAGATACACATGGACATCTCAAAACTTATCAAAATACAGGTCTAATATGTTAGGAAGTAGCTTTGTTGTTTTGTCTTTTTGGAAAAATGTAAAAATCGCGATTCGTGGACCAAAAAATGCCAAAAATGGCGGCCGCGACAAACGCAGATGCTAGTTATTCTAAAATGTGAAGAATACAACCCAAAGGGCATACAGATAGGGTTAAAAGATCTTGTAAGGAAAGTCATGAAATGATTCATTTGGTTTTTTTTATTTTAAAAATCTAATCTTTCCATTCCTGTAGCCTTTAAACAATAATTTTTTTCTCCTACGGAGATTAAAAAAATATTTTTAAATTCTGAAATTCCGAGAACCAATGGTCTATATAATTATGTGCTCCTTTGGACTCTACACATTTTTAGCGTGTCATTCGTAACGTTCAGTGGAAGCTAAACACAAGGATCCCCTCAACGATGAGTAGGCCTACCCAAAGCCACACACACACACACACACACACACACACACACACACACACACACACACACACTGTACACCTTACAGTATGGAGCTGTGTCTAGAGACAACAGGGTAGGAGGAGGTAGGCCAAATAGACAGCTTCGGCGGAGCTGATACAACCGGAATCTAGTTTTGGGCTTTGCCAAGGAACCAAATAAATGCCGCAGAGGAGATTTTTTATGTTCATGCTTTTCAACACAATGGAGGAATCATGAACACGTTGCTATCCTCTGATACTGATAGCTTCGCCAACAGGAAAATGTGGTACAGTTGTAGATGAAGATCTGCCTTGAGAATACAGACTGCTGAGATGTAGGAAAGTCCTAGCTGCAGACATTGTCTACGTACAGACGTCTCGTGGGGCTCATCTATCTATGGAATTCTGCACCCTGGTGACGTTTAATGTGAACAGTGTGTGTTGGACATTGGGTGGTCATTTTGTATTTGTCTGGGGATTTTTCGTTCCGATTCTCTACAGGACAGGTCGTAACTGATAGACCATTTCCAGCCTTGACATCAAAGGAGACCCTAAGGGCACTCTAACTTTCGTAATTGTGCCAAACTTACGCAATGAGTTGGTGGTGAGGAAACGTTCAAAACAAAAAGCACTCTGCTCTTTTTAATCATGATCTCAGCGAGCAGCCAAAGGAAACTTGAGATAAACTATCTGCAAACTTCTGTTGGTCTGTTAGAAATTAGACTACTGCAGTTTGCAATAAGGCGCAATCGTTGGGCGTTTAGTGGTAGGCCTCCTAATGCGAACTAGTGCGTCATCATCTGTCTTGCTACAAAAATGGGGACATCACTGAAAATGGTTGTTGTTGTTTTTATGCGCTATGTAGAAAAAAACTTTGGTGGATTTATCTACAATTAATATCAGACAAATTCCTTTTGATTTCCAAAAGTTGGGTACAAATTGGAAATGAAAAACTTCAGTGTGCAGGAAAATATTAAAGAAAAAATGTGTACAGTTTTGTTAGGATCACTCTGTACATGTAAACCTTGACTTCTTCAGCAAAACCCAGGTTTGAGAGTGTGTGTCTAAGTGTATGTTTACTACTGGTGCAAGAATCACTGCAGTTACAGATATATTCTATAGCGTTTGAGAGTGTGCCCATTGAACACGCAAAAATCTGTCCTCTTGCTCAACTGGGATTACTAAGACAGTAAGAATGTTGTTTCTGGACAGACCACCATGGACAAACTTCTCTCACCTCACAGATACATTGTACAGTGGAGTCCACTTCAACCAAAACCTCACGGCACTTATATAGGCCTACCACCTTTTCGTGTTGTTAATGCCGTAAAACCTTTACTAAACTCAAACTAGAGCAAAACCTGCGGCAGACAAACCATGAATGGTGTGGGCGGACACCATTGTGATAGAGATCTATTAATAGACTCTAGACACACTGCGAGGGAAATGTCACTTGTCGAACAGCTACAGAAAAACTGGTGGACTCTCTCCCACGACAACATGAACAGTTCAGTAGGCCTACATACAACGACGGGAAACCTGGTGTCGCACTCACCAATGACACAGCTAAAAACAAACACTTGACATTCAAAGCTATTTGCAGGGTAATATATGCATATTATATATATACGATCACAATATACCGGAATGTAATATATGCGTACATTCCATCAATATACCTGTATGTAATATATGCGTACATTCCATCAATATACCTGTATGTAATATATGCATACACTCCATCAATATACCTGTATGTAATATATGCGTACATTCCATCAATATACCTGTATGTAATATATGCATACATTCCATCAATATACCTGTATGTAATATATGCATACATTCTATCAATATACCTGTATGTAATATATGCATACATTCCATCTATATACCTGTATGTAATATATGCATACATTCCATCAATATACCTGTATGTAATATATGCGTACATTCCATCAATATACCGCTATGTAATATATGCATATATTCCATCAATATACCTGTATGTAATATATGCATAATTTAATATATGCGTACATTCCATCAATATACCTGTATGTAATATATGCATACATTCCATCAATATACCTGTATGTAATATATGCATACATTCCATCAATATACCTGTATGTAATATATGCATATATTCCATCAATATACCTGTATGTAATATATGCATAATATAATATATGCGTACATTCCATCAATATACCTGTATGTAATATATGCATACATTCCATCAATATACCTGTATGTAATATATGCATAATATATGCGTACATTCCATCAATATACCTGTATGTAATATATGCATACATTCCATCAATATACCTGTATGTAATATATGCATACATTCCATCAATATACCTGTATGTAATATATGCATAATATATGCGTACATTCCATCAATATACCTGTATGTAATATATGCATACATTCCATCAATATACCTGTATGTAATATATGCATACATTCCATCAATATACCTGTATGTAATATATGCATATATTCCATCAATATACCTGTATGTAATATATGCATAATATAATATATGCGTACATTCCATCAATATACCTGTATGTAATATATGCATACATTCCATCAATATACCTGTATGTAATATATGCATAATATATGCGTACATTCCATCAATATACCTGTATGTAATATATGCATACATTCCATCAATATACCTGTATGTAATATATGCATACATTCCATCAATATACCTGTATGTAATATATGCATAATATATGCGTACATTCCATCAATATACCTGTATGTAATATATGCATACATTCCATCAATATACCTGTATGTAATATATGCATAATATATGCGTACATTCCATCAATATACCTGTATGTAATATATGCGTACATTCCATCAATATACCTGTATGTAATATATGCATACATTCCATCAATATACCTGTATGTAATATATGCATACATTCCATCAATATACCTGTATGTAATATATGCATACATTCCATCAATATACCTGTATGTAATATATGCATACATTCCATCAATATACCGCTATGTAATATATGCATACATTCCATCAATATACCTGTATGTAATATATGCGTACATTCCATCAATATACCTGTATGTAATATATGCATACATTCCATCAATATACCTGTATGTAATATATGCGTACATTCCATCAATATACCTGTATGTAATATATGCATACATTCCATCAATATACCTGTATGTAATATATGCGTACATTCCATCAATATACCTGTATGTAATATATGCATACATTCCATCAATATACCTGTATGTAATATGTGCGTACATTCCATCAATAGATGACAGAGGGGTAACTAACAGGGAAATCCACAGCACAAGAACCCACAGCGACGGACACAGCGACGGACACAGCGACGGACACAGCGACGGACACAGCAACGGACACAGCGACGGACAGTTGTGCAGACAATCACACTTCACAGGCCCAGTGTAAGCACGTCACCTTTCACCCCAGTATCTCCACACACGAGACATGAGTCGGAGAACACTTCTAGCACACATCAGCAAACACACACAGGGAATATGACCTAACTAATGGAACACTCCTAGCACACATCAGCAAACACACACAGGGAATATGACCTAATGGGACACTCCTAGCACACATCAGCAAACACACACAGGGAATATGACCTAACTAATGGGAGCAGATTACGGCCCATTACCACACATTCCACCACACACCTTCAATAATTCTACATTTTGATTTTGAATAATCTCTGTTCAAATTGAAACAAAACAAAAATTTTTAATAAGAAAAACGTATAATTTAGCTGGGGGGTGGGGGGTGGGGGTGTACAAAGATGAAAGATGCGGAGTATCTAAAGCTCACAGAGTAAATGATGAAGGAAAGGAGCATTGAAGATTCCACCATCAACGAAAGAGGGTGCACAGGTGAATAAATACAACAGGTAAACAAATACAACAACAGGTGACCCCAACAGGTGACCCACGCCAACAGCAACTCGGGACCATTTGTGCAAGTTGTTCAAGTTCCAGAAGACCAAAAGAAAATCCCTGCCTGAAACCCACAAAGAAATTCTTTCTTTTTTTGGTTTCTACAAAAACATCCCTGAGGACAATCTGATTGCTTCGCACAAAGCACACAGTCACAGAACGTTCCTCAGCCCTACAATATAATATATTATATATTTATATATATATATATATATATATATATATATATATATATATATATATATATATATATATATATATATATATATATATATATAATATATGATCAAAACATCAGGTAACATTCTTTACCAGCAAAAATATGTAAAGTCCAAGTTCTTGACAAGTTTAGAACAATAACAATAATAACAACAACAACAATAATAACAACAACAACAATAATAACAATATGTCGGACAATAACCAAAGCATCTACAGAGGAACGTTTCTAAATTAGGCAAAAAAACAATAACAAAAAGAAATGAGAGTTAGCTCTGTAGCCGTTAGCGTGACTTGTAACCTGACTTGTGACTTGTAGCGTGACTTGTGACTTGTAGTGTGACTTGTGACTTGTAGTGTGACTTGTGACTTGTAGTGTGACTTGTGACTTGTAGTGTGACTTGTGACTTGTAGTGTGACTTGTAGCATGACTTGTGACTTGTAGCATGACTTGTGACTTGTAGTGTGACTTGTGACTTGTAGTGTGACTTGTGACTTGTAGTGTGACTTGTGACTTGTAGCGTGACTTGTGACTTTGTAGCATGACTTGTGACTTGTAGCATGACTTGTGACTTGTAGCATGACTTGTGACTTGTAGTGCGACTTGTACACGTGTAGATCTACCGTCTCTCATACACAACGACAATACACGTGTACCGTCACTCATACACAACGACAATACACGTGTACCGTCACTCATACACAACGACAATACACGTGTAGATCTACCGTCTCTCATACACAACGACAATACACGTGTACCGTCTCTCATACACAACGACAATACACGTGTACCGTCACTCATACACAACGACAATACACGTGTAGATCTACCGTCTCTCATACACAACGACAATACACGTGTACCGTCACTCATACACAACGACAATACATGTGTAGATCTACCGTCTCTCATACACAACGACAATACACGTGTACCGTCTCTCATACACAACGACAATACACGTGTACTGTCACTCATACACAACGACAATACACGTGTAGATCTACCGTCTCTCATACACAACGACAATACACCTGTAGATCTACCGTCTCTCATACACAACGACAATACACCTGTAGATCTACCGTCTCTCATACACAACGACAATACACGTGTAGATCTACCGTCTGTGGTACACAACGACAATACACGTGTAGATCTACCGTCTGTGGTACACAACGACAATACACGTGTAGATCTACCGTCTGTGGTTAGCTTCTTTTTATACGTATTTGACTGTGGACCTTTCTGAGCAGTCACTTCCTTGGCTGCACCTGCTACCATGAAATGTTCAGGTTGAGTAGCCTACAATATCCAACGACAACAGAGTTATTCTCTTCTGGCTTTATCCGTTTCCTACTCACGATGCTAGGTGGCTTTTTTTAAAGACTGCCACGAGCCTGTTTCTTCCACAAAGTGACAGTATGTATAGCACAGGAGCAATACACACCTTCAACAAGCTGCAAATACGTCCTTCTTGCATGACACAGAAACCAGGTTGGAAAGACGGGTCAGCATCTAAATCGTCAATATAATCAGAACTTTCTGCAATACCACATCTTTGGGGACTCATGGACCTAATGAAAATTTTACTAGTAGAAAATATTTTAAAAAGTGAATGTTTATAATTATAAGCTTACAAATGAGCTAAGATACCATCACTTTATGGGTGCATGAACATCAAACGCTGAAAGCAAAGATGGAATTTACAGCATAGGTACCAGAACAACACGTGTCGACTTGAACTTGAACTAATGGTAAGGAAGCGCATAAAAGTCCCTCAATGACTCAGCGAGAAAGAATCAGCAAGACCATTAAAGATGAAATGAGACACATCCCCCTCATTTACAAGTGAGAAAACAAAAAGAAACAACTCATACCGTGGCGTATACGGTCATATGCCTCCGTATATATTCTCACAAAGGGGCGTAACAAGACATATGCCTCTATGTGAGATGCAGTTTCCTGCCCGTGAGCTATAGGGCTAAATGTTTTTTGCTCATAACTCCGCCATTTTTAAATCTAGATCTATCGATACGCCGTTTTGAGAGAACATAGATCTCACTACCGGACATACCATGGTGGTGTTAACTCAAAACCGCTATTTTGACGATAGGGCGACGACATGTACACACCAACAAACAGACATGTACACACCAACAAACAGACATGTACACACCAACAAACAGACATGTACACACCAACAAACAGACAAAGAGTTTCACAAATTTCTCTCAAGGCACCAATAAGTCAAGGTCAGTCCCACAATGACACAACAAGAGGATCTGTCACGGAACAACAGCAAATCTGTGGGTGTGTGTGTGTGTGTGTGTGTATGTGTATGTGAGTGTGTATGTGAGTGTGTATGTGTGTGTGTGTGTGTATGTGAGTGTGTGTTGCAAGTGTGTGCATGCGTGTGTCTGTTTGTGTGTGTGCGTTTGTCTGTCTGATGTGAAGGAAATGGCGACAAATGATGCACACAGATCCACACATTTCTCATTTTCTTTTTAAAAAATAACGATTTTCTTCTTCAATGTCAGAGTTTTTACACCCCTCTCGACACAATTTAGATCATTTAGAAGGCGGGCTTCCCTCAGACCCCCCGGTCAATGTCAGCCCGGGCTGAGAGACACAACGTCCCCACAAGCTTCCCTCAGACCCCCCGGTCAATGTCAGCCCGGCCTGAGAGACACAACGTCCCCACAAGCTTCCTTCAGACCCCCCGGTCAATGTCA